GGGGGGGGGGGGGGGAGGTTATAAGTATTTTATTTATGGCGATTGTCTATATTTTAGAGAGATTTTAGGGTTTGTTACTTGGTGGCTAAGTCATTTTCCCCCCTATAAATAGAGGGGTTCTATTCCATTGTAATTCATCCCAAAATGAATAAGAATTCTCTCTCTATTTTTCTGTGAAATACTCTTCTTCTTCTTTTATTGTTTTATAACACATATCACTATTTTCTAAAGTTATATATACATGAAAGTTTTGCCGAACTTTACGGGTGCCGGTGACTCCTCTAAATATTGCATAGGTCCGCTTCTAGTTGGTGTCCTGCATAATAATAAAAAATAACCTACTATCCCACCTTACAATTATTGCATAACCTAACCCCTTTTTATATTTGTCATTGTCTATTTTCTCAACTCAAAATTAAAATTTAAAATTTTAGCTTCTTTCTTCTCTTCGTTTTAACAGCTGTTTGAATTTGGCGCCAAGCCCGCCCAAGAAATAAGGAATGAAAATGTGAAAAGCTAAACCCGCCAAATTCGGCCCATTATACCATTCAGAGCAAAGTCAACACCCGCAACTATTGGTCCATTGTCCTAAAAATCCACACGACAAATACCGCAGCCTTATAAACTCTCCGGCGCCGCCACTGACCACCGTCCGCCGCCGCTAATATACCCTCCATGGCGGACATTCAAACCCAGAAAACCAACGTCTGCATCATCGGCAGTGGACCGGCGGCTCATACCGCTGCCATTTATGCCGCACGGGCCGAGCTGAAACCGATCCTTTTCGAAGGATGGATGGCCAATGACATCGCGCCAGGTGGCCAGCTCACGACCACCTCCGAGGTCGAGAACTTCCCCGGTTTCCCAGACGGACTCGCCGGCGGTGAACTCATGGACCGGTGTCGCGCCCAATCCGTTCGATTCGGTACACAAATCTTCACCGAAACAGTAACTAAAGTCGATTTCTCTTCAAGTCCTTTCAAAATCATCTCCGATGAAAGGACCGTACTAGCAGACGCCGTTATTATAGCTACCGGTGCCGTTGCTAAGCGGCTCGTATTCACCGGGTCTGGTGAAGGCGTAAACGGCTTCTGGAACCGCGGGATCTCGGCTTGCGCCGTGTGTGACGGCGCAGCTCCGATCTTCCGTAATAAGCCGTTAGCTGTAATCGGTGGCGGAGATTCTGCAATGGAAGAAGCTACATTTTTAACGAAATACGGTTCAAAAGTGTATATAATTCATAGGAGGGATGAATTTAGGGCTTCCAAAATAATGCGAAATAGAGCATTGTCTAATCCTAAGATTGAAGTGATTTGGAACTCCGCGGTGGTGGAGGCTTATGGAGAAAAGGTTTTGGGAGGATTGAAGGTGAAAAATGTGGTTAACGGAGAGGTTTCAGACTTGAAAGTTTCGGGTTTGTTTTTTGCTATTGGACATGAACCTGCTACTAGATTTTTGGATGGGCAATTGGAGTTGGATTCTGATGGGTATGTTGTGACTGAGCCCGGGACGACAAAGACTAGTGTTAAGGGTGTTTTTGCTGCTGGTGATGTTCAAGATAAGAAGTATAGGCAAGCTATTACTGCTGCTGGTTCAGGTACTTTTTTGGTCTTTGTTAGTTTGCTTTGTTGAGCATGGCTACTGCTTCTAGCCTTCTCTATTTGTTGTGTTTGAGTAGTATCATAGATTTGGAATTATACAGTGCTGATTCACCCCTTTTTTCAACAAGAAAAACTATGCCTCACACCAAACTATTTTGAGTCGGGCTATATGAATCGTTTATTGTTCTGCTAACTTAGAGCTTATTTCGATCCAACAGTCAATAGTTTGTATTGTAAAACAAAATTCTGATTCTCTAAAATAAGGGATTACTAATTTAAGTTAAGTATTCTATACCTCGTTGACTCGTTATTTAATTTACTAAGTAGTTTACAGTTTTGATGTGCACGTTTGGTGAAGCATTACATGTTGGAAAGTGAATATATAGAGACCATTCTTATGTTGGTATTGGCCTAGCAATTTCCAGAGACATTCTTCAGTAGTCTTTTTAAATTTTATTAACAGCAGCGCTATGACGGTGCTGGAACTGTACATAGCATATTACTGTAGCTCCTTTCTATTGCAAGGAGTCAATATTGTCCAAAAGAGTGTCAAAATGAACTACATTTTTTATCTTACACGAGAAAGAATATAACTGTAAGCTCCTATATTTACACAGTGAAATGCCTCTCTTTTGCCGTCAAAACATCCAAAGTTTTGTTATTTTCATATGGTCCATATTATGCATCTGGAATGGTCTTCGATGTAGTCTTGAGATGCTTCTTTAACTTCTGACTTCTCCTACTATTGGTTACATCTTTCAGCTTTTTGAGCGTCATCCGTTTTATGCCAAAATAAATTGTGAAAAGTCCCCAGATATGCCAGGACATTGAATAGTGCAACAGTAAGGTGGTATGAGTCTTACTATGCCTCATTGCACAAAAAGAATTTGGTGCACATGCTTATCCCCCCTCTCTGTAAGTTAGCTTGAGTTAGACATGCCTTGTCTGATGCAATCCAAGTCAAATACATTACCTTCAGGGGTGCTTTGCATTTCCATAATATTTTCCATGGCCATTGATTACACCTTGCATTGCTATTCTGTAGTCTGAAACAAGACTTTACAGTGCAACATCCATCCGTCTCTGCCTTCCAAATCAACCTATCATTCTGTGAAGTTAGCTCCTTTAAGGCTTCCAACTTCTCAGCGATTAGTGCCCATTTTATCTACCATTCCGCAAAGGCCTTTCTTTCCATCATTCCCAGTAAACGATCAGTTGACATGGAAATACGCCTTCTAGATCCAATTTGTACATTACCTCAGGTTTTTTCTGTCTCAACCTTGTATTCAGGCATTCATTTGCAACAAGGGATGCATCAATGATCTGTCTCCATGTATAAATGCATTCTGATTGTGTGGTACCAGCTTTGTTACCAATCTTTTCTATCTTTAGCTCAATACTGGCAACAAATTTGTATGCACTTTGGCAACATTTTCACTCAACATTCTTCAGTAAGTCTAATTAACTCTTCTTTGTATGAATGGATTAGGAAACTGATAGGATTAAACCTTGGAATACTTTGCACGTACATGGTCGTAAATAGTTATTAAAGTAATCCAGTCCCCGATTTTGAAATTAAATTAGGATTTTTTTGTTTGTTATACATTCTCAAAAAACTGGGTTTGGTTTATTATACTTACTCCAGTTTGGTGATTCGCTATTGTTAATCAAATGCTTAGGATTTAACAATATCACGTGACGACTGATTGTAGGAAAAAATTAAAAGCGGAGCCAGGATTTGAGGTTTATGAGTTCTGAATTTGCCATCAAACTCATAGCTCGTTTTAGTTATTGGGTTTGCAATTAAATATTTATACGCATGTGATAAATTCTCTAATACAATTACAAGGTCTAAGCAAAAGTTACTGGGTTCATTCAAACATGTATATAATACCTTAGCTCCGCCTGCGGAAAAAATGATCTAACGTTAGCAGTTTGGCTCTGGTTGATTTAGTAGATGGAACTCCTCAATGCCATTTAAGAGAAAGAGAAGGAAAATGTCATATAAGAGATACGAGCAGTACATAATGAACTCATATGGAAATTGATTCAGAGGGGATTGAGGCACCATGCCACTCCATAACCAGCATTTCTGTTTAGGCATTGTAAATAAAATTGTAACATGTTACCCAAGGGTGTGTCTTACTAGTCAATAAAGTGGGATGAGAACCATGAAGTCTCAGGTTTAAATCTCAACGGAGGAAAAAAAAATACTAGGTGATTTCTTCGCATATGTCTAAGTATTGATGGATAGAGTTACTCAGTACCTGTGCTGGTACCTGGTAGAATTAGTTGAAGTACACACAAGCTGGACCAGACACCATGATTATCAAAAAATATTTGAGGTTGAGTATGTTCTTTTAAAACTGTTGTGGAAAGGACATTGTAACAGAAATTCTAACATGGTCATAAGGTAGATTTCTTTTCCCTATTAGAGCTTTTCTCATCAAAAGCAATCAGAGTATAAAACAACGCAGTTGATATATGAGTTAGTGAATTTCTGAGTGAAGTGTTCTTTAGGTTTAGGAGAGGAGGTCACTTGATTATGGTTTAAATGTCACCCAAGGTTTTGCTGGACTTAGGTGTCTTCATTACTCGGTGATTTGTTCACAATTATTACTTACTAGTGAAAAATCACTTCCAGCTCAACAGAAATGCCAAAGTAATCGATAATTAACAGTAAATTTGTTGGCCTGGATTCATCGAAAAAGATTTTTACCTCTATAGTGCATTATGATGGTATCTCGTACAGATGACTGATTTGAAAGCAAATTCCTGAGACAGGTGAAAGGTTTTTCACGCAAGGGAATAGTGCAGTACATTGACTACAAGAATATTTTTTTTTTGGGAGATTGTTTCAATTCCTAATGCTTGATATGCTCGAGAGATGAAAATAATTTAATAGAAAATTGGTTGTCAATTATTTTGTAAACTAGCATGGATACTTCAAAGATTGAACCTATCAAGTCAAAATCCTAAATTAGCCTCTGGTACCTTTTTGTGGCCTTCCTCTTTTTTCCTACTTGTCCATTGTCGTACTGTCAGAGTGAGTGTGAGATTTGTTGTCAGTTTATTCAGTTTGTGACAATGTCAGCAGATGTGAAACCATGGTGAATGAAGGAAGAAGTCTCAAAGGACCGACAATTTTGGAGGTCCATGAAGACGTAGGAAAAGATAGGGCATAATGGAAGAAAAAAATCTATATAGGAGATATAGATTAGTTTACAACATGTTTTAGGCGTTAGCAGTTTTACTATAGGTCTTTTTTTCTAGGAGTCGTTTAGACTTTCGGAGACTTGTATGTTTAGCAAATACACAAAACTTCTAATACAACTTATCTGTATTTGCATAAACATTGACATGAGATGAGTTTGAATGGTCTAACGTGGTCAGTAAGGTTTCATATAGACGACCCCAAGTTGTTTGGGTCTAAGGCATAGTTGTTGCTATTGTTGTTATGACAATGTCAGTGCTGGTGAGATCACATAAGGTCTGTAGACAGTCTTTTGCAATTCTAACAGAACTTTTGTGTGTGTGAGTACTGATTGGTTACAGGATATAAGAGTATTTCAGTTGATGTTTGCTCGTTTTAGTCTTCAATGTGGAAACATTTGAACTTTAAACTTCACTTTTCTCTCAGGATAACTGATAGCCTTACGTCACAATTGGGACTCTAAGATGTTTCTTCTTTGAATTTCATATTCTGTAGGATGCATGGCAGCCTTGGATGCAGAGCATTACTTGCAAGAAATTGGTGCCCAAGAAGGAAAGAGTGATTGATAAGCATTGGTTCTTTTAATTTAGAACTGAATTTATGTTGCAAAGAACGGAAATCAGTCTAGATTCCACATATCTGTTCAAAGAAATTATTGTCATCATGATTTTTATGGATGTGAAGGAACTTTCTTGTAACGATTATCCTAGCAGTTGGATGGATGCAATGGCTAGCATCAGATTTGTTGTCATTCTATATTGTGGCAAAAGCTTTCGTACTTTTGCAGATGTTATTTTGCACTCAAGACCCAACTTTCCACAAAAAGTAAGCCTCTTTATTTACAGTAACTACCCAAAACAGCTAAAGAGTTATGCTGTGACGTCGTGAAAATGATTTAAGTATATTTCTTGTTTTTTTTTTTTTAAATTTTAGTTCCCCTCCCTTTTGATTCCCCTTTAATCCTCTCCTTGTTGGAGCTATTGCTCCTTTGATGATTCGATCCTACGACCCTGGGGTTCTTGGGCATGTTTAGACCTGGCTGAATGTGATGTAAATGCCATAACTTTGGGTTGGAACAACATATGTTTTAGTTAGTAGTACAGGCATGGTCTTTCTTGCCTCACTGTTTTAATTGCAACTTGCAAACAAAAGAATTCTGTTTTTATAAAGTGTGCGCAGATCATTTCTTTCTCATTTGAATAACAAGCGTGCTTGCGTGGGATGCAGGTGTGGGGCGGGTTCGAGCGTAGGCGGAGTGGGTTTAAGATTTTGTGGTGTGGCGTGGGTTGAATATTTTTTTTAAAAATTCACGCGGGGTGAGGCGGGTGGATGTTGGTTAAAAAGCTATCTAGGGCGGGGCGGGTTTAAATTTTGTGGTTAAAACAGAACCTGCCTGGCTGCCCCCCACTTGCCCTGCCCCATTGCCATTCTTATTTTGTCGGTTGCCACCAAATCAAATGATAATGGGCACCATAGCTGAAAACCTTCTTAGCTCAGCCCAGCGTTCTTCCCACGATAGAAAGATCGATCCAGGATTTATACTCGACAGGTTCAACCTTTAGATTCTTATCAGTTACTTATATACTGCTGAACATTTACACTATATAAATTATGAGTATTAGAATTTAATATTTGTTGAAATTTAGAATATATAAATACATCGTCTCAAAAATAACTGTATTAAGTCATACTGAATCCATACTAAATCCCCTCTGCCAAGTAACATGGTTTTGACAATAGAGAGAGCAAACTTCACTTGTCGAATGTTTCGTGCATGTCTTCCCTTTGCATCCAGGAAAAAACTCAACTCTTCGCGCTTCAGGAGTGGGATTATCTGATTTCAAGGGGTTCCTTCGTTAAAAAATTATACTGTGCAAATAAGGTAAAAACAAATTATTATGTACAGCCGAACCTCTCTATAACTGTCTTATTTAGTTCCGATATTTTTTGGTTGCTATAGTGAAATGTTGTTATAGAGTACATATATTATAAGAAAACATAAAAATTGGTTCGACAAAAAATTTGATTTTTATAGCGAATGACTGTTATATTGTATCCATCGTTGAATCTCCTTTAAAAAGGAAAACTCTTAGTTGTAGTGACAAAGGTGCTTCAGAAATGGCTTTAAGTCACTTTGAGTTCTAAGTGTGATATTTTTGCCTTTTTTTGAATCTCCTTGTTTCCGCCACTAATTATGTTGTATTTAACTTATAAAAATTGCCAGATCTATTCAAGCCATGGTTATTGTAATTCTAGTTCAATGGTACCTTATTACTAACAAAGCAAATAGGCACTATAATATTGTACGTACTTGTAAGTAGTTATGATCACTATGATGTCCACAGACACCACATTCTTGGTCCTCTTTTTCAGGGTAGATTTATATTATAGTTATCCCTTTGATTGATGAAAATATATAGTAGTAATACTTTATCAAAGACTTGATGAAAGACTAGGCTAGTGCATATTTTATGCCAGATAACGATCTTAATATGAACTAATTAAGGTAGTTGAGTCTTCATCCTACCTACCAATCATTGGTGCATAGTGGTGGCAAAACGGATAAAAATAATAATTATTCATCCATATTAAAAAATGGATTGGATAATAAATTATTTAAAAATGGATCAAATATAAATAAGATCCATATTATGCACTTAAAAAAATGGATAACTAATGGATAACCAATGATTTTAACTTTTATATTTGCAATGATTCAAATTGGAGGTTCCTCAAATTTGAGAAACTTGAAATTCTTGTAAAAGTGATCATATTCAAGAAGCCATGGATAATATTATCTGCCGGTTAACTTATTTTTTTCCGTATTAAATAGAAGTCGAATCAAATATTTTATCCGTTTTCGTCCGTCCATGCCTGACTTGACCCGCCGTGGTCGTTTGACACACCTATTGATTGTAGTTATAAATGGAGCAAAATATAGGTGATCTAATAACATCAAAGGTCACATTCAGAGGAAAAGTATGGTGAATTGCACTTGGTAAGAAACTATAAGGGTGGCACTACTTTCCTTCTAATTTATTGTCCCTAGTTACCAGTCATATATCTGCTGTGATGATTTTGACAACTCGTGCATATGGGCATTGGATCACGAAAAGGTAAACTTATGATATATTTCCTGTAGAGAGGAATAAAACTCTTGCCATTGGTTACTTTTTGACGGTTCGATAATATAAAAGGCGGCTCGATATAATTAGTGACCTAAAGCTAAAATCGATATAATTAGTGACCTAAAGCTAAAATTTTAATAAGAGGCCTTAAACTTTTTTAAATAGTAGTTATATATATACTAGGTATGCCAAAAGCCAAAATGATCAAATTATAGGTCAAGTAGGGTATCCAATATTTATGGGATTGTTTACTTTTGTTGGTCTAGCAGTTACATCTTCAACGACAGTAATATTTGGCCATGTTATTTCCAACCCCATTACACTTCTTGGTGAAATTGGTGGATTCTTGACAATAATCGTTGCAATTATTGGAACTAGCCTAGCCACAATTAGTACTAAGATTGCAGCCAATGTCGTCGCGCCAGCTAACAGTGGCGGAGCCACATTAAAGCAAGTGACACTCCTTCGCCGAAAAATTACACTATTTTGTTAGATAATTTTTTTTAATTTTATGTATATTTACTTTACGTTGACTCCCCTTGACTTTTTGATATATCTGATTATTTATATTTTTACATCCCTTGATAAAAATATTGGATCCGCCACTGCCGGCTAAGACCTTAGTCAATCTTAGCCCTTCAAAATTCACTTTCAGAAGAGTTGCACTTCTAACAGCATTGCTAGGAATTGCATTCCAACCTTGGAGATTACTAAATCAAGTGATAGCTTTTTGTATACTTGGTTAGTTGGCTATTCTGCAATACTAGGACCAATTATGGGCATACTTTAGCAGATTATTATCTCATTCAAAGGATGAATTTAAGGATCAAAGATTTGTACACATTTGACTTCAATATTTCCCTTGCATTTATCTGTGTAGAAATCATATTCCCTCCAGCGCAATTTATGTGACGGTGGTGTTTGAATTTTGAGAAACAAAGAGTTGTTCTTTGATCGTAATTTCTTCTATTGCCTTCTAAATATTTTAAATTTAAATATTATGAGTTATAATATTTCTTGTTAAAACTCTGTATTCAAAAACCAGAAAACTAGAAACGTTAGTTTAAAATACGAAAGATGAAAAAATTTCGAGCCCACAAGTTTCTTGTGTTTCCTTAAGGAATTTAATCCCCTCACAATGCTCAAGGTTGCGGATTAATTCCTCCCAGGATATAACGGAATAACTATTCTGTGATAGCGGCACTTCAAATCACAGAATTTCGGCGAACTCAAATGGCGGAGCAAATCACACAAAATGCTTACGTTTTTGTGACGACCCGACCGATCGTCTCATGAGTTACCGGTCCGTTTACCCCCATTTCTGCTTTTGTTTGCTTTGTTCATCTGTGTGTTGAGGTATCAGGTTAGTCGAATTGAATCCGGAATGATTTTGATAAGGTTTGAGACACTTAGTCTCTTTTAAGAAGGTTTATGTTGGAAAAAGTCAACCGGATGTTGACTTATGTGTTAGAGGACTCGGATGTGAATTCTGATGGGCCGGTTAGCTTCGGGAGGTGATTTATGACTTAGGAGCGTGATCGGAACTGGTTTTGGAGGTCCGATGTAGAATTGGACTTGAATTGGCGAAGTTATTATTTTGGCGATTTCCGGTTGGTAGGTGAGATTTTGATCCGAGGGTCGGAATGGAATTCCGAGAGTTGTTGTAGCTTCGTTATGTCCTTTGGGATGTGTGTGCAAAATTTCAGATCATTCGGATGTGGTTTGGTTGGGTTTTTGATCAAAAGCGTGTTTCGGAAGTTTTTGGAAAGCTTAGGCTTGAATTCGATGTGAATTGATGGATTTGGTGTTGTTTGGGGTGTTTTGATGGTTGGAACAAGTTTGAATAAGGTTTTAGAATGTGTTGGTACTTTTGGTTGAGGTCCCGGGGGCCTCGGGATGATTTCGGATGGCTAACGGGAAGAATTTGGACTTATGAAATTTCACAAAAATCTGCTGCTTCTGGTGTTTTCGCACTTGCGGCTTGGGAACCACAGGTGTGATTCCGCACGTGCGAGGGAGGAGACCGCATATGTGAGAGTTAGTTGGATGGGCAGTTTCCACAGAAGCGGTCGAGGAGGCCACATCTGCGAAGTCGTAGATGCGGAAGGGCTGTCGCAGAAGCGACTTTTGGATTTTAAGTGAGATCCGCAGAAGCGGACTTGTGACCGCAAATGTGGTACCGCAGAAGCGGTGGAGGGGTCGCAGATGCAAAAACCCCTGGGCAGACTGTATATAAATCCTTTCTTCGCGATTTTTGAAGGGTTTCACCATTTTAACTTCGGATTGAGAGCTTTCGGTCGATTTTGATGGGAGATTTCAAGAGAACTTCGATAAGGTAAGGGTTTTGGACCTAAAACACACTTCTATGGTAATATTTCATGGATTGGGACTGAAATTTAAGGAATTTAAGGACTAAAAAATGGAGGTTTAGGGCTTGAGTTTAAGAGGGCTTAATTGAGGAATTGAGGAGTCAATTGGACTCCGATTCTTGTGTTTTTGATATGTATGAACTCGTGGAGTGATAAGGAACCTGTTGATGTAAAAATTTCTGAGTTTCGAGAAGTGGGCCCGGGGCCGGGTTTTGGTAATTTCGGGATTTGTGCCCGTTATTGATTGTTTCCGCTTGGGCTTTGTTCCCTTAGCATATTGTGATGTATTCGTTCTGTTTTTGGATAGATTCGACGCGCGTGGAGGCCGATTTGAGGGGCAAGGGC